GGCAGATCAATTAAAAAAACTCTCCAAGAGCATGTTCTTTAGAACGGAAACAATGACGCCTTTATTGTATAACCATTCAAAGAGTCTAAACATAAAGAGAGATTTGATATCCTCACAGATGGGTATGGCAAAACGAATAGCAAGAAGAGCCTTTACATCGAGTTTCTGCTCTGGAGGTAAAAGTTCAATGTCTATGAAAAATGTACATCAATTTGGAGAACCATTATCATGGCAGAGCGCAAGTCATTCATTCATTGTTTTCAATAGCCAAGACATGGACACGATAAGTGTGTTTTCAAAAGACGTTAAAACTTTACCAGATGATATAAATGAATTCGTGCGCAGTCAAACTGAATTTGGGGAACAACCATTAAAACATTTAGATTCAATGAACCAAAAAGAACTGAAAGATGTCTTGTGGACTTCCATTGGTTCAAAAAATCTTTCAAGGGAAGATTTAGACAACATTTTTTCTTCCTATGTCATTACAACAGACAACCTTTTAAAAATGGTTTTAATAAGTTTAAAAATTGATTCCAAGATCCCAGTTGTTATCATGGGGGAAACCGGTTGTGGTAAATCAACACTTCTTGAATATCTTTCAAAAGTGAAAAATGTTAACTTTGAAAAAATTAACGTACATGCAGGGCTTTCAGACAGAACAATAATAGAAAAAATACATGATATTAACAAAGAAGCTTTAGGAAAACTAAAAAATAAAGAAGAGGTCTGGCTATTTTTAGATGAAATAAATACTAGCAACTGCATTGGTATTTTGACTGATGCACTAGTCCATCGGCACATTAGCGGATTCTTTTTATCTCCAAATCTTGTTATTCTTGCAGCGTGCAATCCATACAAAACAAGGGATATACAAGCGACAATTACTACTGGATTACAAACAGACTTAAAAAAAGATAATCTTTCAAACTTAGTGTACCGTGTTCACCCATTACCAGAAACAGTTTTAGACTACGTGTGGGATTTTGGCATGATAAATTCTGAGGATGAAAAGAAGTACATTGTAGAGATGGTTAGAAATCTTGATTTGAACAGTAAAAATCTCTCTACTTTCGTAAACCTTCTGGTGTTGTCTCAGGCATTCGTTAAGAGAAATGAAGAAAGCGGTCGTACAGCAAGTTTACGGGAAATCCATAGATGCAAAATATTGATGCATTGGTTTTTGAATGTTTACTTCAAAGATATACATCCGACATCAGAAAAAGAAGAGAGAGCTATTTTTCTTGCTCTTTTGTTGGGGTACGAGTCAAGATTTAAAACTCGGAAAATGCGTTCAATGTATTGGAAATCCCTTTGTGAAGAATCAGATGATCACGAATTAACTAAAACAAGGATCCAAGGCATAATTAAGGAAGAGCAAAAATTTATTATAAAACAGCTCAAAGTTCCAGCTGGGGTAGCCAAAAATCGAGCTTTACGGGAAAATGTTTTTGCTCTCTTTATTTGTATACTGAACAAGTTGCCCATTTGCTTAATAGGAAAACCAGGAACAAGCAAATCCTTATCGGTTAACTTACTTAGAAGCAACATGAGAGGAAAGAACTCAGATGTAGATTTTTTCAAATCTCTTCCACAATTATATTTTTTCAGTTATCAAGGTTCTGAATCATCAACATCTGAAGGAATTATTAAAGTTTTTAACACAGCTGTAGAATATCACGAAAAAAATGTAAACGATAAAGTGCAAGTTGTTGTGCTTCTTGATGAAATTGGTCTAGCGGAAAAATCAAGATTTCAGCCTCTGAAAGTCCTCCATGGACTTTTGGAACCAGGAGAAATGAATGAACTTAACATATCATTTGTTGGTATGTCAAATTGGGCGATGGACCCCGCAAAAATGAATAGATTAATTTACATCTCATGCCCTGATATGGAAAATGACGAATTGTTAAAGACAGGATACTCAATCTTCTGCGCTGTTTTAGGCAAAAATTTAGAAAACCTCAATGAGAGAGATACTACAATTGTTTCACACATATCAGAAAAATATTGCTGTTATACTAATCAACAAGAACCAGAAGACTTTCACTGTAATCGTGACTTTTATAATCTCTTGAAATTCACTAGTAGAAAATTAAAAACATTCAATGATGAGTTTACGGAAAAGGATTTCTTTAAAATTTTGATGAAAGGGGTTGATAGAAATTTTGGTGGGTTACGGCGAAATTCAGGAATGAAATTGGCAAGAGAAGTGTTTTTTCCATCGTCTGATCTTCTCCCGTCATTTAATGTATGTGAATTAATAGAAGAAAACATAGAAGACAAGCAGGGAAGACATCTCATGTTGTTTTGTAGTAGTGATGTTATACTGGGAAAACTTACACTAATTCTTAAATGTACCGATCAAAAAGTTACGCAGATATTTGGAAGCCAGTTCACAGACGACCAGTTTGAAGATTATAGCTACAGAATTTTAAGCAAAATAATTTTGTGCATGGAAGAAGGACATGTTCTTATTCTGAAAGACTTAAATGTAGTGTATGGAAGCCTTTTTGATATGTTGAATCAGAATTACACTACTATTGGCAATAAAAGACATTGTAGAATTGCTCTTGGGCCTTACAGTAACCCTCTCTGTTATGTACATGAAAATTTTAAATGCATAGTGATTGTTAACGAAAATATTCTTGGCTTACATAACACAGCGCTACTAAGCAGGTTTGAAAAGCAAATATTTTCTTCTTGCGACATGCTAGAAAACAAGTTTAAGGATGTGTTGGAAGAGTTAACAGACAGACTTCTTAAAATGAGAGAAATTTTTTCTGAGAAAGAAAATCAGAGTACACTAATTCCTTGGTTAAAATTACTTCCAATGTATGAAGAAGATATTTTACCATCTCTGATTCAAAAGGTCGCTGACAGAAAAAATAATGAATCACCAAGTGTTGAGGAATGTTTAAAAGAACTGCTACCCTTACTTCAGCCTGAAGCTATGTGTCTTATTAAAGCCTCTACTTACAGCAAACTCCACAATCAAGAAGCTATGGTTATCAGACAGCTTTATTCAGATTTGCCTATTCACTCTGGCCTCCGAAAGTATTTGGAATTTACAATACCTTTAGTAAAACAAGATGAAAAAACTTCAACGCCTTTATTTGACGATGTTACTGCAGTGTCAGAAAAAAAATCATATGAAATTGACAACCAAAAATGTCAGTTAGAAAAACATAGTCGATTGATGGCTATTTGCACTAACAGCAGCATTCATACCGATATATCAACTCTTCTACCAGAGACAAAAGTTGTGAAATTGGGGACATTGAAATCAGAGAAACATTTGGATTACGAATTAAGGAATTTCTGGTTTAAACATGACTCAAGTAGTATTTTAGTTATCCAGTGCAACGATTTAAATGATTTAAAGCACATATCATTGGCAAAATCTCGTGCATTATTTTTTCGAAGTCAATATATAGAAACAGCAAGAACAGAAGAACCAAAACATATTTGTTTTATCATGCATCTTACACGAACTTTATCATCTCGTCCTTTGTTCTCCGAATTTAATTTTCAGTCCGATTGGAGTCTAGTCATGTTGGATACGCTGACTGAACCTTTCTTTCATTATTCCGATCTATTCAATGAACCTGTGACGAAAATTCTAAATGGGTGCATGGAACCAGTAGAACAAGTTATATCAGAACAACTTCTTTGGGCTTTTTCTCGAATAGACTATGATGACAGACAGAGGTCTTTCGATGATGTTATCACTGTAATGAATCACTTTAAAAAGTCGAAAGAAATAAAGAGAATAATCATCAAAAAGATTTCTTTGTGGTTGGAATTGAATGTGGAGCAAGAAAAATGGGCTTTTGAAATCGCCGGTGATGGCTTATCTTTGGGAACATTTATGACCTTTGATAATGCTTTAAGACACAGCTTTTCAGTTCTTATCCGCGACCCTCTTGCAAACATTCTTTATCATTTGGAGGAAAATCTTTCTCTTGACTGCATCATTGAGTATTCAACTGCTTTAGGGGACAAAGCAAAAAATGAATCTGATTTATGGACGAGGCTGTTTGATAAGATAATCACGTTGAAAGATGTGATTAAATCTGCTGGACCATCTTGCTATCACATTTTTGGAAGATTTACAAAAATGAAAATTCCATTTTCAAAATATTTTTTTGACCAAATTGAAAAAACAAGAGAGGAGTTTTTTGAAGAAATACAAAAAAGGAATGTGAAACACGAGCTTGAGGAAGAGACTGAAATAACTGATATTCCAAAACATATTATTGATGAAGTCGTTGAATGGTTTACTGTAAAAACAGAAACTTGTCTTAAACAATTGATCGATTCAATAACACCTCAAATGGAAGAACTGTTTGTAGATGATTTCTTCAGGTATGCAACACTCAGACGAATATCGATACTATCAGATACTGACAATGCTATCGTTTTGAAATGGACTTTGAAGCGATTGTTGCATATGAATTTTGATGTAAAAAAGGACGATGGAATGGAAAATTACAGAAATGGTCTGACCAAAAAAATAACAAAACTTTATACAGCCCTTTGGTTACACAATTCAGTAATTATTGGAGTGCATAATCTGTTGGAAATGACCACTGCGGAAGATATCGAAAACGAATCTAACGAAGAAACTAATAGCAATGATGCAAAATGCACTCAAGCGCAATATGCTAGAAAAAGTTTGACAAGATCAGAAGAATCAACAAGCAGAAACAATGATAGCATAATTTCGACTGTTACAAGCAACGATTATGGAAGCAACGAACAAAATCCTCAAATGAATGCACAAGCAGATAAATACCTTTCTTTGACAATAAGAGAAAGAAAATCTAAAAACATAACTTTTAGTCAATGTACTGAAGAATATGGCACTCCTCAAAATTGCGACATCGAAAATATTCTCGATGAAGCTGATGAAATTGCCGAGAAATGTACGAATATGTATTCTCAAGAAGAGGATGAAAAGATAAAGTCAAGTGATAAGGATGTTGAGATAACTAATGATATAGACAATTTAGGTGATGTCAATATATACCTGCGATGTCTTGTAGACGCAATTTGCACAAGAATGTACCCTTCTGAACAAAGTGGACGTAGGTTGAGAGCGTGGCAACAAAAGGTAAACATTTTTCTAGCATTTGCATATGATATCGGAACTGCGTCTGAAACGCAGTTTAAATTGCGTGTTATACACGATTTAATTTGCAATGTGTGCATTCCATATCCCGAAACTATCGAAAGAGTACTTGCTGCTGCCAATGATATAAAAAAGATAGAGTTTTTCTTTCAAAACAATGCCTGGCAAGGTGTTACTGATTTTGTTCTGGCATTGTCAACTGCAGACATTCCAAGAGAAACACAATTGAAGTGTTTAAGCCAATTTGCCTTCAGATGCATAACTTTTGATGAAACAAACTATCAGCCATGTATAGTAGTGATTAAAGCTGTCTTTGAAAAGTGTCATTGTGAGGGAGAATTACCTCTAGAACCTATTTCAATAGGTGCAGTACTTGATGAATGTTGTTTTGATATAAATAAAAGGCTCTTAGATAAAACAATAAAAGCATTGAAGTTTTCTTCTTTTGTGCAGGAACATTGTGTATTACGAGAAATTCTCAAAGTGTGTGAATCTAAGAAAAATATAGGTCCTATCCTTCTCGTCGCCGATTTCATTGAACATCGTCTCCTATCAGAAAACAGCCATTTATTGAATACTGATATTCTTCTTCAATCAAAAGAAGGGAGTCCAATTTTAGACGAACTGTTTGATATGAGGGCAGCTTTATCTAATCCAGACCTAGACTGGACAGAGGAATTATTCATCATCTGCTTTCTCCGACGTTTTATATTTTATTCGGCCAAAGCTTTGACAAAAGATACAGAAAAAGAAAGGCATTTGTTGAAACAATTAGAAAAATTGTTTAACTTTAACAATGTTAAATGTCAAAAACAAGACAACATATTAAAAAAGTTGCAAATTTATCTGATGAGATGTATCAGCAATGGATCAAGCTCATATTCCATATTTCAAAAAGTAGCTGGATGGAGAAAATCCTTTGAAACAACATTATTTCCCGATCTTACAGAAGAAAAAATAAAAAGTTCGTCTGATGTCTATCAGCCTGTGGCTATGAATTTAGCAGCTTTCGTTCGAATTAAACAGGAATTTCAGATTGAGGAAAAATTGACAAAAAGCATCTTTCAACACTTCATAAACACAGAGCTGACTGGAGTAGTGTTGTATTTATATTCCCACTGTTATATTGGTCAGATATTTTCAAAACAATCGGGAGAAGAAACACTTTTAGATGTTGATGTTTTGCCATTAGCAGAAATTCAAAAAAGGATATTGGACTGTTTTATTTTGAAAAAGACGTATGCTCTTGATCAAATTAAGATATTCAAAAATTGTTCCAGTGAAGCCTTAAAGCACAATTCGTTTATTTCTATGATCTTAATATGGTCTGCCTTCCTTGCTAATAAAAATAACATTCTCTTGGAGGCAATAGAACATCCAGACTTTTTTGAAAGTACTATGTTCTGTGAGTTTTTACAGTCAAGAGTATATCACTGCGATACCTTGTCTTATATCTTTTCTTGTGAAAACCGTCATAGAGTATGTGCTCTTCAGTGTGATTCCTGTCCCATTTGTTTCAGAGGGGAAGTTAATAGACAATTTAAGAATCGACAGTTACAAACGAAAATGACAGACAAAAGGAAAACGGTCGCTTATGAATTAATAAAACTGATATTTCTCGGCGTCCACCTTTCTGCACGTGCTTTGAATCATGATATAAACATATCTGATGAAGAAAATGATGATATCAATGACCGTTTGCTTTGTAGAATAAATGCACAGTGGTCAAAAGTCAGTAGCCTTCTTTCGTTGACTGAGAATGAGGTATTAAGATTGTGTTCTTTAGTATTTGGTAAACTTCAAAACGAAGAAAGTCTTACTAGCCCTGATGCATTTCTGAATGAAATAGTGGAGGATAGTTTAAAAAATCGTTTCTTGCTTCTTGACAAAGAATGGCATGATCTGGATAATCACAATTCTAAAGTACAATTGAAAAGTTATAAGTTGTCAACCTTTGTAGAAACAGAGTCACAAACTAGTGAACTTATTCTAAGAAGAGATTTTTGTCCAACTCTTGACAATTTACTCGGGGAAATTGAGCTTCAAAATTTAGAAGATAAATATCCAATTTTGTATCACATCTTAAATCGCCTTTATTTCTTAAAATTGATGAGATTTTTGGCACCATGTCTCAAGTGGCACAGAACAATAGCAGTTTTGGGAAGTTTTTATCTTAAGAAAAGTGATTGCAGAAGAATGACTGTGAAGACATTTTTGGCAAATGAAATGGGACAAAATCATTCTTTGAGATTAGGCGTGCGATTTTGTGAATTTATGAAAATATGGAATGAACTTTCTTCTGAAAAGTACTGTGAAGCACTACTAGCAGTAAATAAAGAACTTCAAGCTATAGCTAATGCCAGTGAAGATGAACAACTAGAAAATTTCTTAATCATAGACGAGCATTCTCCGTTGCTTTTGACAATTGAAGCACTTGTTAAAATTCAAAATTCATTTCTTGATGAGATTATGGATATAACATGCTCAGGACAATGTTTGGCAACGTCTTTTATAACAAAATATGTATCCAAAGAATGTATTGCATGTTTTCCCATCATACCAGTATTGGAGTTACAAGAAAGCGACATCATACAAAGTGAATTTCCGCATGATTGTCTAATATTTTCGCAGAGGAGCTTGACTACAAGCAGAAGAGTAGCATTCGACTTTCAGAAAATTGAAGGAGAAACTGCACTGTACTTTTTGTTGGAAGCAAAGTATATACAGCTTGAGAGGCAAAAACTCAGGATTTTATTCAAAGATGACATTGCTCAAAGTTCTGTTGCTCTGCTGAAGAAATTACTTTCTGTTTGCCCTCAGTCAGATGCAAAAGATGAAAGAATCAAAAAGGTATTGTCTGTTCTTGCTTCAAACCAGGCAGAAGAAAACTATAATTTTTTAACAATTCTAGGAATTGCAATTGCAATGATACCTAAATTACCGATGATAGATCCAGACACTATTTTGCTGCATTTTTTTCAAAATAGGAAGAATGACTTTTCATTTATATCTTTTGAGAACGCAGTTCCACCAGAAGCAAAAATGGGCGATTTAGTTATGATATACCAATGGCTTGAAGAAACGAATGGAACCCGAGTTTTAGAAAATCTTGATGGAGAGTTTAAAAAAGAGCCACCAAAAGATTTGGAAAATATTTTAATTGCATCGAGATCCAAATCTTTGGAATGGAAATCTATTGTAAAAGGGATGAAACTCTTTGCTCAGAGACGTCTGTCAAATAAAGAATCACTCAACCTATCCCAACAGCTTAACAGTTACATGAATGACGAGAGCTTTTGGCCAGTAACTCTGGTTCCTACAGACAGAAAGAAACTTTGCAATTTGGTCCCATCTGACATTAAGCTGAAACACATTTGGGTGTTTTACAAATGCATAGAACAACATATAAAGGTGTGAGATCTTTTATTACATTTGTCCTTAAATTGTTTTAGAAATGATCTAATTTTGACAGTTTTAGCAAAAGTCCTGGCATCTCTAAAAATATATGCCACTATTAATTTAGCCCACTATATTTTCAAAATAAAAAATTGATTTTTTTTTCTTAATTCGCAAGAAATTGATTGCGTAAAAAATGTAAACGTAAAGAATACTAAAAAAATGAAATTGGCTAAATAAAACCTCAATACAGTAATTTGTAGACTTTTTTTGGTCATGATAGGAAAATATCTTATCATCTTTAAAATATAATATTTTTTATGATAATTTATTTGTAAATATAAGAATAAAAATAACAACTTTTAGTAGAAACATAATTCGAATTGGGAATTGCATGTTATTTGTAAATGACAATAGTTACACTGTGTTGTAGTTTCCAGATATAATCATACTTTTGTATCAACCTTTAAAACTAACGTATTTTTTGTAATCTAATTGCAGCCAAGATTGCAAACATCTACTCATCATGAACCACGCCATATGTTTGATCCAAACAAAAGGCCACAGAGAAAGAAAAAGTTTCGGAGCTAAAAAAGGAGATTTAAAATCTTAAACCTTGAGAGAAAATCTATTTCTAAATAAACATTTATGAACTATGTTAATCATCTGACAAACGTATTTATAAATATATATTTATGATAATGTAAATAGTTTTAAATAGTTAAATAACTAGCTTGCAAGTAATATTATGGAATTTTAAAATGTTAATTAGAATATTAAGATGATTAATTGTTGCAAAGTTTACCTCTGAGAGAGAGAGAGAGAGAGAGAGAGAGAGAGAGAGAGAGAGAGAGAGATTCAAAATCAAAATGACCAATGAAAACAATGAAAATTTAAGCACCACGAAAATAAGTAATTTCATAATACCGTACATCTGGAAATTTTTGCGTCGATTTTATTTTGCGCATTCGGGTCAAAATGGTATTGATTAATTCTTACGTTTCAAAATTTTTGCGAATGACCACTGATTTGTTTACATTTTCTTATTGGTAATTTATTTTTAAGAAAAATATTTTTGCGAATGCAATGAGCTCGCAAATTTTCTAAAAATTTATCTACAGCAAAAAATTCCAGATTTATGGTACATTAATTTAAAGAATTATATACACATAATGTGATTTCTTCCATTTGTACAAAAATCATATATACGAGGGTTGTTCGAAAAGTTCGTGGACGATGTCAATCTTCGTTATATTACTCACTGTAAATTTAAAATAAGCACATTATAATATGTAAAAATATATTATTCGATGATGTTTGAAGTTTCATTCCATTTGATTTAACAGAAATCAATTTATTTCATTTTAATCTCAACATGTTTTGTACCCGCGGAGCACCCTTAATGGCAAGGTAACGTCAAAACAAAGCGTCAAGAATTTCTCAAAAATACTATCCCTATACATTTTATACAGTATAATCCCATGCCCATTCATTAAATCCTTTTTCTAATACTTGACATTTGTTTTTTTAAGAATTGATCTCGTTGTATAATGTCCTTTGTTAAGGTTTTAATTTTTTTTATTTCTTAACTCTGTTTTCACAGGATAAGTAATTCAGAAGCGCCTAGGTCTTTCCTTGATTCCAACTTTTTAAAGTTTTGTTCAGATTTTTACAGTTAAGCTGTTTCTTCACAGATCATCCTCATCCGAAACAGAGTCTCTGTCACTCAAATACTGCCTGTACTATTTGTACACACATGCATAACTTGTCTGAGACATATTTTCTCGGTTCTTTCAACATTTTTAGAGTTTATTCAGGTTTTCCTGAGTAAAACACAAAATTACATCGTTATCTGCTGCTCCGTGACGTTCTGAAACGTCATCATTTTTTGTCGTTTTCAATAAAGACTACCTATCTTCTTAAGTTGATTTCTTTTCAACAAAGCCAAATATTAAACCATAATTTGGTATACGAATCGATGATACACTTCTTTATAGGAATTTCTAGGTTGTTTTTCGATTCTACTTCATTTTACAGAGAATATGACTACAGACATTATTTAGTGTATTGTCTGTAACTGACTAAATTTTGACCTGCTCCGCGATCCAATTTTTGCATTTTAAAAATCTGGATAAGTTTTGTTTAAATCGTTATATTTTGAAAAAAATGATACAACTCATTTGGATTTATTGTTAAAATATTTCTACCAAATTTGGATGACATATGACGTCAAATAAAAAAGATATGACAGTTGTCCACGAACTTTTCGAACAACCCTCGTATATTCAGTGTACTAAAATAGCATTATTGTTTAATACAATACATTAAATGTACATCACATTCGATTATTTCAAATTTGAAACAAAATATTGTAAAACACGCTCCTTGAGAAGTGCCAGGAACGGACGATTTTGGTTTGTAATAAATATAGTTCATTTTATCCGTAAGTTCACATAATATTTTGAAGCCAAGAGGAATAAAAACCACTTCGCAATAAGTGTCAGTAAGTGTAAAAGCGTGTTCATTATAACATGTAACATAAATTGAATGTGTGAAAATTATTCGTGCAACTTGTATTAAAAATTATTTGTTTAATATCATATATAAGTTTTTGCCAATTAATCTTTTCTCAAACGTTTTTACTTTATATGTACATATTAATATTGATGACTGATCAAAACTAGAAGAAAAGAAAAAGGAAAATTAATTGCAAAGAAAATACTAGATAAACATAGTAATAGGTAATGTGTTAATAAATGTATAAAAATGTGTATTAGTATAGCCATGCAGATTATGCTCATGAACATACGTACCTTTTAAACGGTGTATTTTATGTGTTGTTGAACTTTGTATTTGAGTGATTACGTGTATGCATTCATAATACATTGATTTATTATAATAAAATGATATTGTTTATCAGGAAAATTACAAAAGATTTCTTTTATTAAAAGTTTTTATTTAAGAGATAGGGTGGTAAAAAAACTACATGTAATATTTATTTTGCGTTATTTGTGTAAAGAGGTGAATTCGAATTGAAAGTGAAAGTAAAAAGTTAAAAAAATAACTTGTCAGCAAACTTGCTATTTTCTTAATTCAGACCACATCAATAAAATTTCTTGTTCGTTGGACCCAACCGCTCGTATTTTAGAGAAACGGAAAAAATAATAATATTTTAAATTTCCCGCTTCCGGAAATTTTCGTTCCATTTCCCGCCATTTGAACCACAGTGCATGAAAGTTGTAGGTAGAATCGTTTCCATCTCAGACAATTCTTAAACATGCAGATTCCGTGTTTACTTGTACTAATGTCAAGCTGTCGTGTATTTGCCAGAATATATTTAAACATCTTTGATATATATACCAGTCAACTCTTAATCTGTTAATTGAGAGTAGAAAAAATTAGTTTGATTTAATGACATTTTCTCGTTTTATCACTGATAATCAACCTTGTTATTCTGCGTTCTATGCCAACTGTGTTTTATTATACCGGTATATATTTGTCAATTACTATATGCAATAATAACTTATCACTGCTGGCACTAATTGTAATGATGAATAGTAATGAGACATACTTGTTGACAGTTCTACATTGTCTTATTTTTTTTTATTATGTGAAGTAAAATTTTGGGCGATGTTCAGCTTCTGATATTGGGAAATAATACAGGAAAATAATGATAACAGTAGTGCTGTTGTAATTGGCCAGTTTTATGTGATTGTTCAGTCACATCACATTTTGTTAATACTGTTTTCAAATATATGTAAAAGATGAAGGTAACAAACACTTTTTAACAGTGATAAATGTACATGACTGTATTTTTAAAACCAAGCAAATCTTGTACAGGACAAAAAACATTGATTCCAGAAAACGTTTGGGGTGCATAGGAGAGGTTAATATTCTATATTATCAGAGTTTATTTACAGAATTTTGTACCTTTATGAAATGAGGAACATGTATCAAATGATACGCTAAACATTGGAATATTGAATGTCTTAAATGATCAGGGCAATTGGAAAAGATTTAGTAATGATTTAATCTAGAAATGTAAAGGAAAACAAAAAATATATAATCACCCGCTCCGTTATTTTACTTCACTGCCTGGAAATTTTGTTGATAAAAATTTTAATATTATAATTATCAAATCGCTCGCTCGCTCGCCCCAATTTTTGGGGGTCAGATGTCCGAAGAACAAGAAATTTTATTGGTGTGGCCTCAGTTTTAATTACACCATAAATGTTACTCCTAGACTTACCAATGCCTCATACCATGCCGATTTCCTAAGTTTGATAAGTAACTTCCTAAAAATAACAACTTTAGTAGGTATGTACATTTGTAGATGGACCCGAGGATACCTTATAATGTAAATCTGGAAATTTTTACGTCGATTTAATTTTGCGAATTCAGGTCAAAACGCTGTTGATTAATTTTTACGTTTCAAAATGTTGCGAGTTACCACTGCTTTGTTTACATTTTCTTATTGGTAATTTATTTTAAAAAAAAATATTTGTGCAAATGCAATGAACTCGCAAATTTGCTAAAAATTTATCTACAGCAAAAATTTCCAGATTTACGGTATTGTACTTAAAGATAAAGACCAGAAGTAATTTAATTGTACATGAATAGGAAGACAAAAGGTCATTTAATATTGTACATCAATAGGCAGAACAGAGGTCACCGTATAATTATACATAAATGGGGGGGGGGGTGGGGGTCAGAAGACATTTAATATGATGGATGAATACGGAGACCAGAAGTCACCGATTTTGTTTTAATCATTAGGGAGACAGTAGGTCACTTTAAGGTGTATGTCAATAGGGAGATCACGAGTCGCCTTATGTTGACCATGAAAAGGGAAACAAGGTCACCTTATGTTGTACATCAGTGGGAACTAAAGGTTACCTAAAGGTTAATCCATAGGGAGAGCAGAGGCTACTTAAGGTGTAATATCCCTCTGATAAGAGGGATAACTTTCTGAAGATATTTGCCATGAAATTCGATGAAAGTTATTCTGAAGACATTTTTCCATGAAATTCAGTGGACTGTCAATTCAAATTTTAGAGATATCATTTATATGGACCATTTTAAAGTCAACTTAATCAAATCCGTTCTATCGTACAGATGTTGATTTCTAGTTCTATTGTATGGAACGCCGTAACTGACTTATGTGTAGCACTTTCATTATATGCTGGTACTTTGTCATTATATAATGGTATTTTATCATTATATGATGGTATTTTGTCATTATATGATGGTATTTTATCATTATATGATGGTATTTTGTCCTTATATGATGGTATTTTATCATTATATGATGGTATTTTGTCATTATCTGATGGTATTTTATCATTATATGATGGTATTTTATCATTAATTTATATGATAGTATTTTATCATTATATGATGGTATTTTAACATTATATGATGGTATTTTATCATTATATGATGGTACCGTATAAGTATAATTTTTAGCGAGGATTTAATTTTGGCATTATTAGCGAGGGTGCCGAGTGCTAAAATTGAATATCGCTAAAAATTAATTGCAATTTATGTGTTATGACTTCTTTAACATTCATTTCAAAATCGCTAAAATAACATCTCACTAAAAATAAATTACCAGTTTTTCAGCGCAAATCGCTAAATTTGCGTCTCGCTAAAATTTCAACTTATACGGTATATTGTCATTATATGATGGTATTTTGTCATTATATGATGGTATTATGTCATTATATGATGGTATTTTGTCATTATATGATGGTATTATATCATTATATGATGGTATTTTGTCATTATATGATGGTATTTTATCATTATATGATGGTATTTTGTCATTATACTACTTTTCATTATACTACTTTTCATTATAGGCTACTACT